TTGAATTTTCACGTATTTAAGTATTTTAATTTTATATATATTATATAATGTGATTATGATATTTAAATAATTTTTTTATTAATTGATTTTATATAATTGATATTCAATATTTCTTAGTATCAAAATAACACAATTTATGAGAAAGTGTACAAATAATATAAAGAAAATGTGTTTTAAAACGTATATTCTAGATAAACAAATAAAATGTGTTAATTTAACATATCATAGATATCAATTTTACTGAAAAAAAAATATGCTTCTATAGTATGCTTACAAATTCTGTTTACATCACTAAATTGTAATAACGATTACGGCAATTAGAACGTAATTTGTGCATAAAAATATCAAAGGATGTATTATTTATGCAATTGGGAAAAACACCTACAAAATGCTACAGTTTGAGTTACGTGCATTATAGATTTTCAGTACTGGCAGTCAATTTTGGAACAGCTTCATATCTTATTGAAAAGCTGCATCTTTTGTTGATAATACAGAATACTGCCTTACCGACAAGTATCGATGGTAACACAAAATTACTATCTATTGATAGAATAATACTCAGGCTATAATAAAAGCGCTGCATATACTAGTTAATTGTCCACCATTGTCCACTAGCGACGGTGAATGTGACGATTGGTGGCGATGGCGATATTAAAGATATAATTAAAGATTTCTAAATGACATGAAAAATCGTAAATCACTTGATACGAATACCGGCTATAAACGAGGAACGAAACAAAAGATTTACCTACAAAGAAGTGATTTGATTCCGTGAAGCAACATGTGCACTTCGGACCTACGTAGCTGGCCGATTTTCAGTTTACTGGAGTCAGAGTTCGTTTCGCAGATTCATATGGTTGTGGTATACGGTAATTTATCCTCTTCTCTTAGCGTATTTACTTTGACAGTGTGTTGCTTATTCTTATATTTCAAAATAGGTAACTTGGGTAATGAAGCCTTAATCATGACGAAAGACAAGATGATGTACGCCCTAGGTAACAACATCGCTGGTTGTTTGGGAATCGGAGATACACATGGTACTCTATATCCTAAGAAGGTAGAAGCCTTATGCGAAAGAGACATAAGAATGTTCGCATATGGCAGTGGACCTCATGTCTTAGCACTCACAAAAGAAGGAGAAGTACGCTAAGATTTTTTATATCTTGGAGTACAAGTCAATTGTTGTCTGTAGCTGATATTCACGGTCAGTTTTTATATTTAAGACTGCCTTAAGTACAGTCTTAAAACATAAATCCGTTTTGGAGCTAGTTGTATTAGCATGTTAAAATATTTCTTAAGAAAATAAAAAAAATGAATTGAGAACTGACTGAATACCAGCCTGTATAATATCTCATCTCTCTGAATACACAACTATGGTCAATGAATCTTCCTTTTCTAGGCTGGTATTCTTAGTCAATTTTTATTTTAAGATTGTCTTAAGTATATTTTCAAGATGTTAATGCTGTGATTAATTCATGATATCTTAAGATTATATTTGAAACAGTCTTAAATATAAGAACCAACTATACTGACTAGATTTAGTAAAGCAAGTTTGGAAGATGCTTACCCTCTACTGCAAGAATCATCTATATATATTTATTGTGTGATATTCTATATATTACTTCTATATATATGATTTTTGTAATAAAACATAGTTTAAACTATCTTTTAAACTTTCTTTATTAAGGGGTCTTTCTATAACTCTTAACGATAGTCGTTGATTTCATTGTGTAAATATTATGTAGAGTAAAAAAGCTGTGCAATGACATCAACTATCGTTAAGAGTTACAGAATCGACCTCCAACTTTCTTTATTATGAAAGAGTCAAATTATTTGCCATGGATATATATAATTCTGATTCATTTTCTTTAGAATACTCTTTTTTTTTTGTTAATGATTATTTTCATTAAATTTGTTTACCGCTAAGATTCACTCTGCTAATCTTGTAAAGCTAAAGATAAATAGTTAATAAATTCTCATATTTGTACAAAAATACATATTAGAACTTTTTCTTTTAATTATTTATTATTAATGCATACAACAATTTCGAAGAAATTTTGCTAAAGATTTTCTATGCTGAAGATTTTCTATGCTGAAGAAATCGACAAATCAAGTGATGCATTTGAATCA